CTGGTAATACTTAGGCCTAAATGAACTTTGGAGAAACAACGCAAAATACAGCGCTGTGCTCACTGGTGTAGATCACTCCATGCAAGTGCATTTCAAGTTCTCGAACATTCGTTCAAGGATTCCCAGCGAACTGGATTGAAGACCGGGTGATTCATCGTCAACATATTTCTTCTCACGTCTAAATGAGGTATCCATTAGCTGTCAAAGGAGATGTGCGACAATTATCGATGCGTTTGAATCATATCGGACTCCGAGCGTGGTTGCGAGGGAACAGGAGCCGTGTCATCTTCTCTCCATGCCTATGCTGGTACCAAATTATCTACTAATGGAAAAAAAGTGAGTTAATCTACTGAGTTGCTTGAGCGGGAACCTGATCATCAGTTAACTCTTAAGAGCACCGAGGGAAGCAATCATTCGATGCCGCTCATATTGAACGTCCTCTACAGTCGTTTTCGTCACATAATTCAGATATTTGTTGTTCTCGCTCTTGTTCAACATCTACAATCCGATATTAGAGAAAACCTATGAAAGCGCGTAGATTGAGGCAAACGGAAATCAGCAGAACAACATTTATTGCACGTTCACAAGCTACAAAATACTACCAAACGAATAGTAGCAATGACGTGTTTTGCGAGTGATGATGAGGAGGTTGGGGGGAGCGTATCAAATTCATTGAACTGCAATGAAGCCGCCAGAAGCTGTGAGTGTGTAGGCGAAAACACCTCATCAGACGAAACAAGCTTAATCACAGAAATATTCCGTATCGATTACAGTGCATTGAATTTTGAAACCAGTATCAGAAGCGGGGACTCGGTTAGTTGGGTATCACCGCATTAGGGCGTCTCGAAGAAAAAATTATATGATAGAAGTTCTCCAGGTTCAAAAATTTTTTTAGCGCTTCCTGAGCACGTTACGAACAAAGTAAGTAGAAGCACGAAAGTAGTAGGTAAGCGTGCAGTAAGTAGTAGGTATACGCGCTCGACTGATAAAGAAGCAGAAAAAATAAAAGAGGCTGTGGGAGACAAAAGGAAGATAGACGAATTTAAAAAAAAGAACTGCAGTATATTAGGAGAGATGGGCCGTTATCGTTTCTCATTTATCAGGTCTTTCGCAACGAATACGAGTTCTACCAAAAGTATTCATGGCACTAATATCGTTGCTAGCGGAAGATATACAGTGGGATTTCTGCAAGCACATACGATAGGAAAGAGACTGTTCAGCAAGTGGAAACAGCATGAGGAAGCGAGAAACTACTCAAGTACAGACGGACATGAGAAGGAGTTATCGCGTTTCTACCCTTCACTGAATATTTTATTTTTCGACCTATCCAAACGTTATCACATTTCCAGTTTCCTGTTACACTCGTGTCCAAAGCAGCAACAGAAATTTACGCTGCCGTACCCGGTTCCTTGAGTACATCTGCTTTTTTGGCATTGCTCTAGTGAGACCTGGAAAGATGCGCAGCTTTATCCATTTGAATTGAATAAAAAAATTACAGTGAAGTTATTTCTCTTGATTAATTCTGCCCGGCAGCAGCAAATTCTGAGTCGCGCGTATGCTTTTCGAGCATCATGCATATGCATTGCACTAGGAGCATCGTAGGAGTATTCGTTTTTACAACCCACTCATGGATGATATCCATCCAGATTATAATAAATTATACAAGTTTGGATGATATCCATTAATAAACTATCCATCAAAATTTTTACTCAGCACACAACATCCCCCGTGACGAGATTTTGAAACTTTCCTATTGATTCACTTTAGAACTTGAAAATCCTTACGTCAAATATTGAGCTGGCATTCTAATAGAATCTGACCGTTGTAAGGATAATTTCTATTTTGAAAGCTCTGAAGCCCTGAATTTTCACTGTATGATATTACACCGGCTCAGGAAAATTGCGAAAGCGAACTTTTCTCTTTTACCCATAGTGGAACAATCGTGAGCGTGAAAGATTAGGAACGTTTGGAACGCATTCTGGGACATCCGTTTGATCCAGAACCATTTGTTACAAAGTAGTGTAAGATGCTCGGTATTGCATATATATGTTCGGTACAAAGGGTATGTAACGTGCTTAGGCTTGCTGAATGTTTTTATGATCATAACACTTTCGTGAATTCGTCTCAAAATAGTAACGCAATCGGGGAATGTTTATCAGTAAAAAATCTTGTAGGAATAGCCCCTTTTCCAACTCGCCAATTTTTCTTCTTTTGCCTACGTCACTACTTCAGCTATATTGACTCAATTGGAATTCATGTTCAAGGTTTCAAAGCCACAATAGAGCATGGCTGTATACAATAACTGTGGAAAATTCTGTGTAAGGTTATTGTATTTCTTCTAGAATTATTCTTTTTTTATTTGAGAATATTTTTTTACCTATTCTTTCATATCCGGCAACATTTTCGTTATGACTTTCTTTTTTTGCTCAGTGATTGAATCATCTATTCCTTCCTCGAATCTCTTTCTATCTTGTCATTTATAGTCCCATCAAGATCTGTTTTCAAAGAAATGACCACCAACTCGTGAGCTTTCGAAATTTCTTTAAACACTCGAATTGCCCTTCTCATATTGAGCTTAGCAATCGTTCAGTTACGTTAATATAACGGTGTTCCACCTGTTAGGCTGCAACATTTGCAACGTTATCATTACTCGTTTTGCTTTCCTTATTCTGAAGAAGTTTTACGTCACTGCTAGTTTTCCGGTACTTCGTTCATTAGTGCAAAGTCATGCTTTCATGCTATATACTTCATGCAAGATTCATTTAGCTGATTTCTACGAGTCTAGACAGTCGAGTGACGAAAATGATTCACAAGAGACAACGCGTGATTCCGTTGCCGTTCCTTTCTCATTATGGATGATGACGTCGGTTAGACGTCGGTGGGCGTAATATGGAGGAATGGATAGGGAAGGTTATCTAATTGGCGTCGATCGTTTTCTCGGGTGAGTCCATATACTCATCACACTTTTAGCATAATGATGAGAGGCACAGATGACCTGAAGAGATTCATTGGGCAGAACATGCGGTGAATCTCTCTAGAACGCGGTATATGCGCCTCAGTCCGATTTTTCTAAATAAATATAATGCCATAGCACAATTCATCTTACAGGCTCAAATCTCCTATCTGCTTCGACATCGACGGGTCATGCTTAGGAGTATATAAGAAGGGCCTAAGCAACTCGGGATGAATTGGGTCGTACGCCTCTTATTTGAGTATTTTCAAGCTAGAACTTTTCACGTTCCACAAGTACACGTTATGAAACGTGGACTGAATTCCGTTTTTTTCAAAAAATATTTCCAAAACCTGCTTCTGTGACATTCTAGTGAGCTCGAGAGGAACCTACGGTCGCGTCAAAGTCATTGGAGAAAAAACGAATATCGCGCAATCTGAAAGAGGGAATATCTCACGCACTTAAAGCGCTGGAGCTCAAGGAGTGACGCTTCCAATTTCCACTGATATCAATGATGAACAGGCAAAAGTACCTCGGAAGACTGGTTTTCAATGTGCTGCCCATCCAAGGCGACTTGCCTTGTTCCTTTGAGCACAGCCGTTAAAGGCTTCCGAGCTCAATTAATACGATATGCGTATACACTAGGTCGATCTAGCTCGATGAAAAAAGTTCACTTCATGTTTAAGGGAAGAAAGTTTAATCGGATTCTTGAGAAGAAATGGTACTAGAGACCCCGTCTCGTCTACTAATCATGAAAACACTATGCACTGTCACGTTTTTGACGTCTTGTGTTCCATTGCAACCATAAGCTTTGCCCTCAACAAAAGCAACGTGTAGACGAGATAGCTGCTCCGTCAAAAGAAAGATAGCTTTTCGTATCATAATACTAGCACAACAACTTCTACATCATTCAATACGCAGAGTGAAACGTTACAAGTGCAGTTTTTTTGGTGACAAAAAAATTGACAGGAATTCTAGCCAAACCAAGTAGCAACGGCTAAATGCACCATGACAAGATTAGTCCGGGTACAGAGGGTATCTCCTTGTTGCTATCGTGTTTTCCTTATGCTGTTGCTATGCCTAAGATGAGCAAAAAAAGTAACGACAGCTTTAGAGCTTGAAACAATCCTTTCTTCGCGCTAACTCTGGAAAATTACGTCTAATTAGATTGGTTACCGAGCATATTCAATTCCTACGGAAGGATTCGCATTAATGAGAGTGATATAAACCTTAGAGTAGGGACTGAAAAGTAGACAAAGCTGTTGAAACGTCCTTGAAACTGAAAGAAACTGAAGGAAGATTCAGGGATGGGGGTTTGATTGGCATGGGCGGACGGGTGTCGGACCCGAAACTATTTATGAGGTAACAGCGCCTCCCGGTATCTAATCTCCGCTTATGGACTGCCATACTACCCATAATATTGTGGGTTGTAGTTGACCACTTGTGAGCTTGATGTGTGCTATATAACCCCGGTTCATGGTTTCAGGGTACATACCCTTGAACGACAGCAATTCGGACCTTACCCAAGTCCAACGATGCAGCCAACCGAAATTCATGAATGTTCTGGTTGTTTGAATATGGGAACGTTATTCTGTTTCCAATTGTAATTCTAATCATGAGCAAACGGGCATCGTAACATTGACGCTGATCCCTTGAGGAATGAGCAGCTAGTGTACAGTTCAATGGCTCCTCCAGATCTACCAAAAGTCCAAGGGCCTCCGCAGTCTTCGTTCCCCTTCCATGATTTGGGAATGCTCTATCCGCTTCATTATCGGCAGTAAGTGGCAGCGGATTCAGTCAGATTAAATGTTGAGAGACAACCGTGATAATGACATCAGCTGATAGTCCATGCTGAAAAGGTGGTGATGGGTTGAGCAGATTTAAATCCTTGACTTTTCATTTTCTTCCCTGTCTTTAGACCCTCTTGTTCTATCTCTCTTCCCATACAAACTGTCTACGTTTGCTATCGAATGCACATAGCGCATTTTCAAAAGCCTAGCTCAATTTAAATTCTGTAGTTGTGCCAGTTTCACAGCTCAAATTCAGATTCTTATAGGGATTGAAACATCGTTTGAGGACATACCTCTTGATGGACCCAACAGTCTTGCGCGATGATTCCGCCCTCAGAATTCCATAAAGCGAAACAAGCGAATCCCATGTCAAAGGCAGAATCTGACGAGGGCATCGAGCACTTCCGTACTCCGACCACTCCATCGATGTTGTAGGTACAGTTCACGTAAGCCTGTCCATGTTGATCGATGCTGACAAAGTTGGACTTCATTCTAAAAGACTGAGGCTGTAGGGTATAGAATTTTAGCTGCCTTGATGAGGAGCTTCATCTGGAGAGACACATATGAGGAGGTTATGTCACCCAGAATACACAAGAGAACACTAACAGTTCCGTCCGTTTTGTGACATATCTTGCACCGCTAGGACCGTTATGTCTCCGCAGATGTCCTTCATCTTTTCTCAGCATGAAATATCTGGATTCGACTACCACGACAATGCATGTCAGTAATAGAGCTCGCATATTCCAGGAATCCATGTAGGTTCTAGAATAAACATGTTAAATTGGAACTGGATGATTCTGAATGGTTTGTGGGCTTCGAGTGAAAATTTAGCACGTCATATGAGTAACTAAGGCTATTTGTTACCGTCTACAGGTTTGATACTGCGCCTACTGCGGAACAAATTAACTATTAACGAAGATGAGATAATGAGAAAAAAAAGTCTGCAAACAGAATACTGGGCTCAAAATATTCGGAAACAATTGCTGGCTCCGTAAGGAGTGGAAGGAAGAGCTGCTAAAAGCTTCACATCGATAAAATTGCTTTACTCATTTTCCCCCACTTCCTCACTGAGGTTACCACTTAGAAAGACAGCTTCACCAATTTTGTTACTCCCTGTTGATATCAAGGAGACATGCCGAAAGATAGGTGAGAACTATTTGACTGGACGCTGCTGAAGTCCGAGACAGTTGCAGCCCTCAGCTCTGAAAAGTTAGCCTAAAAGGCTATACGACCAGTAAAGAATAATTTTGTGGACGTAGATTGGATGTAGAGAATAAGGTAACTAAGTGAACCTCGGCAGACGACCAAACCTTTTCAAATTATTTCTACGAGCAGAACTGAAATCCCTGAAAAAGCGATTCCCAAACTTTCCATACAAAAATGCCCGGGTAAGCAGAGCGATTTCTCAAAAGACTTATTATATCTGTGCAAACACTGCCAATTAGCCGTAACCCTCCATTTTGTTTCACCGCTGTATGATCTTTACATGAAGCAAGGTTTATTCTATCGTGCGGATAGTACTCTTTTCCGATCATAGTTTGGTGTAGATGTAGATGTGAAGTAGACGGTATGTGACTTATAAGCGAGGAGTAATTTCATGACTTTAGTGAACAAAAACCAGAAAGCATCGAACACTGGGCATTACGACGTTTCACTTTTGGTATTTCACCAGGCCAGACACTGGTCAACTGATTGCTCTGTGCATCTTCTTCCAATAGCTAAATTCAGTCATAGATCGATTTTGCAAACTGTAAGCTGTGTAGAGCCTGTTGCCACCATGCAGTGAAATCGTGTTCACTACGGACCTGAGTACAACAAAATGACCAAGAGACGAAAATGAGCATCGGGATGCAGAGCAGCGGAGAGGACAACCAGAGGAGTGGAAGTGGTCCGGGCTGCGTGCTTGTATAGACACACCTCTTTCACTGACTAACCAATTGCTGTCTGTCAAGCTTTGGTGAGCTCCGCCTACTTCCAGTTCACACTCGCCATGAGCAGACCCCCACAGATTATACGCTCAAGAAGTTGTATGCGACCATCCGTGGCAAACAGCAACGATACCGCAAAGAACGACACAGACTATATTTACATCACTGATAACTTATCTTTCCAGTATCTATTTCATTGACAAATTACGGTCGGTAAAGAAGCAAAAAGACTACTGAAACAGAATGTGTTTAAGTTCACTCATTCAGAGACCACAGTGACGTCAGACCAGGGCCGGTTATCAGGGTCAAGGTTAGTCATTATTTTACTGGGTTTTCGAATAAGATCACTGCTCATGTGCGCAACGTCCATGGGCAATCTAACTAACTCTATTCTTCATTACTGCACTGAAATTGTAAAGTTCGCTGGTTTCAGAACCATCACGATCATCATAAACGGCCCTCAAAAGTTTCTTTAAAACCTTACATGCACACTTCTACGAATTCATTCTGGTCACTGTACTTCTTACCATAACAACGTGAACTAGTGAACTTTCAAATTTACGATGAAGCAATAATAATAATATAAAGTAAGGATAAAGTCTTTTTGGCGTTAATCAGTCCTGTCTGAGAGATGCGCCCCCCGCACTCGACTTCCATTCAGAATCGTTGTGGCGAAATGAAAGCGTATGTGGCCTTTACTATTACTTGCGGTGGCCAGCCGATGTCAAGTCAGTGCCTTTATCCTCCCAGACAAGTCTGGTACCAGTTAACCGACCTCGGAGGCTTTGTCGGCCTAGGCGGGCATCGATCCGGGATCCGGGAAAGCAATAACAATAATAATAATAATAATAATAATAATAATAATAGCGAAGAAGCGAAGTAGCTCCGCCTACAGTGGGGGTGTGAGTTGAAATGAAAGCTACTTCAAGTGGGTTGGTGGCGGCGAGCACCCGTCGTCCGAGGCCGGGCCGAGTGGTTGTCGCCCGGGACCGCCCGGGACCACCAGCAAATATATATAACTTCGTTGAGAAAAGTTCTAGAAAGTTGGAGAAAAGTGGTAACATGATCGGAAGTGGGCGGGATTTGCGCTAAAGTGGGCGGCTCTAAAATAAGTGGGCGGTTCTTAAATCAAGAATTGATAGCTCTGTTCAGAAACGTTTTAGAACGCGGGAAAAAGGTGTCTGGAAGTAGTAGCAGGGATGTGGTCGGAATTCTGAAGTAGGCGGGGTTTGCAGTGAGGGGGGCGGGGCTGGGATCAAAAATCCTAACTATGTTCAGATACCGTTAGTTTTTGCTTCCGCCTCGAGGTTTGTAGGTGGAAATATTTATTCTGGCCGACGTTTCGACGGACTCGTTGTTCTCTAAGGCCTGAAAGTGGTTCAAAGCTTGTTGATTGTACACTACCTCATCAAGCGCCTCTTACGCTCTAGCGTTTCTGACGTACTATCAGGAATGCACGAGAAATGTCCAAAATTCGAAAGATATGCTCACCTCACTTCCACCGCAAAGTGTAGCCACGCTACACGGTCAGTACATTAGTAGCGAATGATCTGTTCTTATGCAATAACATTATTGCGGATTATGGAACAAACTCGCAGTGTTGCATAAATGGCAAGAGATCATTTGTGATAGTGACACACTCCTTTCGGCTGTTCATATCTGGATTTCTAGCCAAAATTCAAAAATTAACTTGCTCCTCGGTTCAAGTTGCGCAATAGAGTCATTTGACGTCTCCTCGCCTTACACCAACGTCCAAAATGAACAAGCCCTACAAGCGCTATCTGAAATGTTGGATAGGCACGGTAGGAGTATTGAGACTTTTGGGCTCGGTAAAGCGCGTATTATGACTCTCATAAAGGAATGTCTTGGTTGTAACATCTTCAAGTGGTCAGTTTCCTATTATTCTCAAATCAGAGGTTCGGCCATGGGTCAACGATTAGCTCCCGTACTGGCGATCTGCTTCATGACAGAATTGAAGAACCAGTACTGGCACGCTTACCATTGATGTATTGTAGGTATATAGATGACTGCTTCATTAAAACTTCAACACAGTCCGAAATGGATGAGTGTTTCCGAATAATGAATGAGCAGTCNATCTCTGACAAGGTATCTGCTGCAATACAACGGTGTATTGTTCGAGCGCAGTTGAGCGATGATGTTATTCTAGTTAACATTCCGCCTGATAACATCAAACGCCAACTTGTGAGGAACATACTCTACGACAAGCAGTGCCTGACAGAGGGTTGCGTTACATGTCCAAACGGGAAAGATGGAGATTGCGCTTCTGTAGGCGTAATTTATCAGATTCAATGTGAGGCATGTAATTCAAGCTACATAGGGGAAACCGGAAGAGTTTTACCAGTACGAATTGAAGAGCATCTTGCTGGTAAACGGCGCAGTAATGTGTTAACTCCGTTAGGGAAACACAAAGTGGAGCAGCATGGTGGAAATGACTTTAACATCAAAAGTACGATAATGGCTCACGAGACGTAAATATCGTCGAGAAAAGCGTTGGAAGCGTTCTGGATTTCAGCTAGAAATCCAGATATGAACAGCCGAAAGGAGTGTGTGTGACTATCACAAATGATCTCTTGCCATTTATGCAACACTGCGAGTTTGTTCCATAATCCGCGAACGTGCTGATCCGCAATAATGTTACTGCATAAAGACAGCGGACTAAGATCATTCGCTACTAATGTACTGACCGTGTAGCGTGGCTACACTTTGCAGTGGAAGTGAGGTGGGCTTATCTTTCGGATTTTGGACATTTCTCGTGCATTCCTGATAGTACGTCAGAAACGCTAGAGCGGAAGAGGCGCTTGGTGGGGTAATGTACAATCAACAAGCTTTGAACCACTTTCAGGCCTTTGAAAACGACGAGTCCGTCGAAACATCGGCCAGAATAAGTATTACCACCTACAAACCTCGAGGCAGAAGCAAAAACTAACGATTTCAAGAACAACAGACATGCCGAGGTTCAAAGATGAGAGGACTTGGAATATGTTCAGATACGTTCTAAAACGCGGCAAAAAGGTGAATAAAGGTAACGGAGTGAGTGTGAGCAATTCTCTGAAATTGGCAGGGTTCGCACTAAGGTAGGCGGGATTGAATACAAAAATTCATAACTGTGTCTAGAAGCGTTCTATAACAAGGGAAAAGTGGTAATAGGCTATAGAAGGAGTGTGGTCAAATTTTTGAAGTGGGCTGGGCTCGCAACAAGAAGGGCGAAGTGAAGGTCAAAAAGTCACACATTTTCTTCAACAGTCCAATGCATGTGGACTCACCATCGTCTTTACCTATAAAGTCATCCACCTACTATATATAAAGAAGTCGTTTCTGTCTCCCAAAAATCGGTACGGTACTATCTGAAGAAGTTGGGTCAACTTTGGGATGGCTGGAGCAAGACCAACAGAGCGTATATGAGCTCAAGGGAACATCGCTCACAAGGGCTGGAACATTCACCGTAACGAGAGGTCCGATGAGAGGAACTTCAATATATAGCTCCATAAAGCCAACACACCGAGAAAAAATGGGCAAAGCTTAGGAATAGGTCAAGAAATCGG